AACCCTAAAACAACATTTGCTGGCATTTTCTGCATAGACTGTAGTAGTATTTTATTAGCCTGTGAATAGGCTTGAACTTATAAAAGCATCCTTAATTTATAGCCTGAAAGTAACATAGCCCCTGACGACAGATGGCAGAGTCCACATTCTGCTTACAGAAAATTCTAGATCCAGTCTTTGGCAATTTTTAAAAAGAGGCATTAAACAACACGAGAGACCACTGGTGAAGGTTCCTTCAGCTGCTCTTGTCAGAAGAGATTCCAAACTGTTAATTAATCCTAGTTCAATCCTCCAATCCCAGAATAATTTAGGAGAAAAAGCAGGGCTGAATGTTGCTCTAAAGGAAAATGTGAAATTACTATTTCCATCAAGGCATTATAGAAAATAATGCCAGGCATGACTAATCAGTGGAAACACTGCATAGATCAATTTTATCATCACCTGCCTGATTCCTCATGGACACTTAGCCTGGTAGCCATAGGCAACGTGAAAAACCATGCAGGTAAATGCACCAAAGCATAGCCAAGCGAGTGGGCTCACAAGGATAGCATGTTCTGGGCATCTATCACAAGAATGACTGTGGGAAGCCACCCCACCCCCACTCTTAGAAGAATGAAACATTTTGAGGAATATTAAAAATGGTAAAATATTGTATTTCCCCAAAAGAGAAATGGAAGAACGTGTTTTTTTAGAGGGAGAAAGCAGCCTCCATTTTTCTTAATAGCCCACAGCAGATGTCAGCACTTAAGAGATACAGAGCTTATTGAAAGAAGACAAGGAACTAGGTAGCTCTATTCATAAGCAAAAATCCTTACCCAAGAGCCAAATGAAAGCCATTAAGCCACAATAGCAATTGCCTAATACCCTTTCAGAACACAAGCCCCTTCATTGTATCACCCTCACAAACATCAACCAAACTTAGCTCAAACACCTAGGATTTGTACTTTGCCTATAGAGCCAGTTATGACCCCTATGTAACTTCTACATGGCCCCATGGGAATCTGACAACAGACAATAGGATATATGTTCTTGCCCAGGAAAAGGAAACTCAAGTGCAAAGCCCAAGAGAAGGGATGAAAATCCCCTACACTCACTTCCATGTGGTTCTGATGGTTCATTAAACCATCTTTCCAATCTGCCTCCATATTTCCAGTGTCTTTCTCCTGGCGTGGAACTGAACCAGGTGGATATTTCTTCCAACAATTTGGCACCCCAAGCTAACATGACCAACGGACCTGGCCGGGTAAGCCTCCCTTGCCTGCAACAGACCCATTGTGTCTGTGGGTGGATTGCCCTGGACTTTGGCCGCTTGGTGCAAGGGTAGTAAAGGGGTTTTGAGCTCAAAGTCTGCTTGGAAAGAAGGTGAGTACCTCTAAATTTGAACTTTAAAGCCCAGAAAAGTGAGGGAAATGTGTATATGTCTGTAGTGTGAGGACTCTTCTACCAATCACAGCTGGATCCTGCTCACTCGGTGCCTTTCCTAACCACAGAAATATCTGTTCCGCCAACAGAATCTGGAAAGCCTGAGGGATTTGTGCAAGAGCATAGGACCTTCTGTTAGGGAAAAGGGAGAGGCCATGTGAAAATGGAATGGAAAAGTGAATGAAAGAGTAACCAGCTGGGAAGTCACTGAGCAAAGTCCTGTGTTAGGAGGTGCCTGTACTTGACTGCTCAAGAAAACCAGGTCCTCCCAGACTCCTGAGGGTCTGAAAACTGAGGGGCAGCAGGTCCTCCCATTCCCCCTTTTGAAAACTGATGGCTATGTTCCCTACAAAAGGAGGTGCCCATACTTGTGAAGGAACCAGAGTCCTCCCGGATTTTTTTTTCCACCCGAAAACTGATGGTTGTGATCAAGCTAAGCCAAAGTGAACCCCACATTGGAAGGGGAACATGGGAAGCTGTAGCTCGAGGGTTGAGAAAGGAACTCCCCTAGGAGATTTGCTCGAGTCTTGGGGTGAATAGCAGATGCTGGTGAGAAGAAAGTGTGAGCAAATTGTGTAGAGTGGGCTTTGCTCAGGGACGAAGCTGGAAAACCAATTTGGCTAAATAAAGGGACTTCAAAGAAAAGGGAAATATATAAATAGGAACGTTGGGGTTTCCATCACCCCCTCTCTCTTCCATGCAACCACATGATATGTTCGTTAAGATTTGTGCCTTCCCTGAGTTAACGGAGATTTATGATGGGAATGACCAGGGCCTAAACCTGAGAATTCTGCTGTCCTTTTCTTTCTCTTTTCCTTGTTTGTGTGTTTGTGTCAAAGTCTTTGTGTGTTAGGTAATTGTAACTGTTAAATGTCTCCGATCCCTAGAAAAAAATAATTAAATTGATAGAAAATAATGTTAAATTGAGCAATGAAAAGAAAATGCCTTCACCCTAGTTTTAAGCTCATTTAGAAGAAAAATTTCATTCTTGCATTTACTTGTATGTGTTTAGGTGGTTTTATCTGTTGATTTAACACCTGAAATGTTAACCTTAATGTTTTTTTCAAACCCTGCCTGCAAGTTATCTATCCACCCCCACTCCACCTCCCCATCTCTTATTCTCCAACAATGCTTTTTCTGGGAGAATCATCCACAAAGGGGCCCCCTGGTCTCATATCTTTCAGCCCCGCACAGACAATTCTGCAACCTTTGGAAACAGATCACACTGACCCAGATGCTTCCTCCAGAGAAATTCCATCCATCTGAGCCAGGGAATTGGGTTTGGATCCAGCCATCCACTAGAAAGTCATCACAGCAACCAGAATGGAGCAACCTTCCCAAGCCTGACTGGGCTTATCACCAAGCCAAGCCTTATGCCACCCAGCAGACAGGAAAGAGAGGACCCTGAGATGAACAAGTTAAGATTAAAGACTTGTTTCAATCCCCAGAAGACACCTGGAAAGACTATTGGGGTGTGTGTGTGGAAATTCATTGTAAGGTTTTCTTTTTTGCCTCACTTATGTTGTACCCAGTTAAATGGATTCATAGAGGGATGGCATTTTGAAGTGGCTGGCACAGCAAGTCCTGAAAACCTCGGATTTCTGTCTGGTATGACAAAAATTGGTTCAAATTGTTTGTATTGTAGTAGTTACACACAGAAGTAGCTGTTCACACACACATACTCCATTCAGAATTAGACTGAGGTTAACCCCTTCACGCACCTCCACATAAAGCTTCTTCTAGGTTGATTTTTGCTTTGTGGCACTAAGGCCCAAGCAATCTTATCTCCTTGCCACGGGAGCAGGGGCATGCCCCTCAGGCAATTCCCTCACTGAAGAGAAGGGAAAGAAAAGAGATCTCTAAACCTCAAGCCCGGATTGTGACTCACAAATGAGGTTCTCCAGTTGCCCATTAAGGCTGAATATGTTTCACTGGTGGTCTCATTAGTAGAAATCCCAGGGCTCATTGTGCACTATTTAAAAAAAAAGAATAGCCTGGACTGCACACTGGCAAACCTCCAAAATCTAGGATTTGGCCTCACAAAAATCTAGGATTTATGTTAAGATATTGCGTTTTAAGAGCTGACCAGTTGCTATAAGGTTAATATAATGTAAGGCTGATGCAATGAGGGTGAATCAGCATTGGTATTGCCTTTTTTAAGACTATGTATGGGTCCACAGAAGTTTTACTTCTTTAAAAAGTGTTTATATAAGGCAGCCATTAGAGGGCTTGTTCTTTCCTTTGTCCTGTCTTCATTGCAGAGCTCTCAATGTACAGTTAAGCAGACTGCTTACTTGTCAGGTATTTGCCTACCACGTATATTTCTGTATATGTCTTGTATATAACCCACTGTTAAATGTCTAGGCCTCTGTGTGCTGTGTTTTTGCTCCTGGGTTGTCTCATAATAGTAGTCATGCTGCAAACACTCTGACAATTTGTACTTTGCCTATAGAGCGCAGCTCTGGCCACTACATAGCAATAGCACTTAGACTTATATACCGCTTTCTAGTGCTTTATAGCCCTCTCAAAGCAGTTTATAGAGTCAGCATATTGCCCCCACCTCGGAAGGATGGAAGACTGAGTCAACCTTGAGCCTGCTGGGATTCGATCTGCCAAATTGCAGTAGGAGTAGCTTGCAGTACTGCACTCTAAACACTGCCCCACCAAGGCTCCATACATGATTCCTACATGGGAAGTCTGACAACAGCCTATAGAATACATGTTCGGAAAGCTCAAGTGCAAAACCCAAGGGAAGGTATGAAAACCCCCAACTCTCAAATCCATGCGGTCAGCTGCCCAGAACCCATCATTAAACCATCTTTCCAATCAGTCTCCATGTTTCCAGTGTCTTTCTCCAGGCTTGGAACTGAACCAGGTGGATATTTCTTCCAACACTACAAAAACTGACAATCCCCAGCAAAGTATTCCCTCTGTTCCTTGCAGTTTCAACCAACTATTATTATGTTTTCCCCCCAAAAGTTATCAACTGGGATGGGTTGCATTGTAAGATTTATCACCCTGACCAGAGTCACGAAGAAAATAGATTTGGCTTAGATAACATGGTACAAGCAAGCAACATGCCAACTGGTATTGGCTTCAAAAGTCTTTCCCCCTCTTTTCCAACTCAGGCACCGCATTGCTAAAACTGCTGAGTTGCCAATGGTAAAAAAAAAAAAAAGCACGGTTTAGGAAACAAAAGTCAAGCTTAACTTAATAAATTCCTGTCCTTATCAACAAGGTTTCTTTTTTTAAAAAAATATTGATCAGTGAAAATCAAAATAAAGGAAACCTCGTAAGAAAGAAGAATATTCTCATCAGCCAGATTTGTTTCGGCTGAATCGTTCCGGTGAGTCAAGACAATGCAATTGGGAACTGCGAGAGGAACTCTTGTAAAAGTCGCGCTTGCGGTTATTTTGCCTCTCTAATCGGAAAGCCACCCAGAAAAACACCCTCAAGCTCATTTAAGGTCACGGAACCAACGGCCCCTTCGCATTCTGGATTTTGGGGGGATAACCCCCCCCCCCCCCCAACCCCCCCCCCCCCCCTCCAACCCAAGTCAGTTCCACTGGTCCCCTTACCTGTTTCTGGATGTTCCGAACGCGCAGGTCGTGCTGCCGAGGAGCGCAGTGTAGCTTCTGCACCACCCAAGCCCGGAGCTGGTAGTAAATGTCGAAAAGGACCGAAAGGGGCAACAGGAAGAGGCAGACGAAAATCCAACGGTGGTGGACTAGCACGTACTCGAGGCCCCTATAGCGAGCCCAGAGTAAGAACAGCAGCAGCCCAATGCCTAGAGACAGCAGAGGCCCCATCCTCGCTTCAGCCTCTCCGCCACTTCGCCAATTGCCGCTTCCCTCTTTTCGCCGGGCTTGCAAGAATCGCAAGCAGGCGGTGCACAGCCCACGCTGCTTGCCCTTCGGCGCAACGGCCGCGACTTTCAGCAACCTGAGCTTCCTCTCGGCCCCACCTTTCTCCAGCCGCTTCCCTAAGTCTTGCAATCAAAACCCGCGCCTTTTAAAGGAGTTGTCTCTACTATGCTTCCCCCCCCTCTCTCTCTGGCTACTAATGCGTAGATGCTCTTTCTAGGCGGTGCTCAAGGATCCCCCCAAAGTGCCTCCATAAGGTCAGAATAAGATGCTCCCTCGCCCACTTCCAATCCTCACGTTTTCTTCCCTAAAGTCTACTCCCAATGGCCTTTTGACTCCTGCTTTCCTCTCGCTCTGCACCCCGGACGGGAAGCCCCCTTCACCGAACCAGATCACCGAAACCCCACGGATCGCGCCCACCGGCACTTATCTTTTTACAACGGGCGCAAGCCACCTCCCCCCGTCATCCCCACCCCATCCCGCTTATCTCTCTTCGGGTTGGCTGAGCCGGTGAGGAGAGGGATACCCCTTGACCAATGGGAAAGCGCCGTTTGGATCGGATCAGGCGCCGAGCGGTGGGATTGGTCAAGGGAAGCCAGGGCCGGTAGAAGGGACAAGTGGTGGGGTGTGGGGGGTGTGGGGGGGGGGGAAACGGACCCAAAACTGGAGATCGGGGCTTTCGGAACGGCGCGAGCGTTGAGTTAGCGCGAAGAATGGGCTCTTTGTGGTCCGCGCCCTCGGAACGGGTTTGCAAAACGGGTCTTTGGCTGGAAGGAGGGGGTGCTCAGCCTTGCGAGAGACCCAAATGGAGCGTAGCCTCTGAGCGTGGAGAGATTTCCCCAAGGTATTTTTTCTTCAGGATCGGACCCAACGGAGCGGCACGAGCAGGTGTTTGTTGAGAAAAACCGGGCAAAACGATTGAATTGACAAGGATCGAATCTGATTTTGCCCAAGCGAAGAAGAGAAACTTGTCCCGAGTTTTCCGCTCGGATTAAAAACCTCCGCTCCAGGGAAGGCAACAAAAATGAACTGATCTTTACCATAAGTAGTTTGGCTGCCTCCGACTAGCCGTAACTGTTGATGGTGTGGGGTTTGTTTTTTTTCTGGGAGGAGGGATAAAAATGCAGGCTTCATGACATTCTTCACGGACTCTTTCCTCCCTGCAAAAGATGTCTTAAACCTTCACACAGCTTGCTAAATGTAGCTCTTCCCCTGCTCTGTATGATTAATTATGGCCTGCCTCTTCCCCATGAAATGAGTTTAGAAAATGGACTGGGCAGTCAACCATTTCTATAAGCTTGAAAATGCAACTGGCATGCTTGCATGAAAGAGCAGCCAGGCATATTGGCACAAGCACCGTGGGGGTCCATTTCAAGCCACGCGTTGATTTGTGGCACCTTGCCTGGGAATTGCTCTCAGGGTCTCCTCTGTCCCCTGGCCTGTTGTCACGGCACGAGGCAAGCCATCTGCAGGATCTGGGTATTTGCCATATTACATGCAGGACTGAACAAGTCAGGAGTTTGCAGCCTTTGGACATAGCAAATTCATTAGTAGGCAAAATAAAACCATGCGGATCAGCATGTTACCTAGAATGAATAGGCAGAGAGACTGGTTGGCAGACTGTACCACACCACATTTAAAGGATTTGAGCAGGATACAATAGTATGGCAGGAATACCTTTCAAGGCACGTGCTGACTTTTGGCATGGCGCCCGGAATTCTGTAAGTTTAAAGTGTGGCCCAAGGAGTTTCCCACAACTCTCTCAGTAGTCCACGAAATCAAAATGATTTGCCAGATACTGAAATAACTTGCAAAAATGTAAAAACAATGCCACTCTTCTCATTAGTATTTCTATTTGTTAAAAATTAGGATTTTTTTCATGAAAAAAATCCTTATGTGAATGTCTTAATGGGTGTAATATTCTTATTTTCACGATTCAATAAATAAATGTTCATTTGTTTAATGATTGTTCAAAGTTACAGTGGCATTGAAAAATGTGACTTACCACGCGCTGATGATCCTTGCAGCATCCCCAAGATTGTGTGAATAAAATTTGGGCGCTTTGCAACTGGTGTGTCTTTATCATGGGATTGCCATTTGTGATCTTTCCAGACAGCTTCCAACAAGGAAAATCAAGGCGGGAGGAGGCAGATTTGCTTAATGACTTCATAATTCATTTAACCACTGCAGTGATTCTCTTTAACACTGGCAAAAAAGGGTTGTTAAAATTGGACTCTCAACAACCGCTTTGCTTAGCAATGGCAATTCTAGCCTCAATTGTAGTCTTAAGCCAAGGGCTTTCTGTACAAAGGCTATATCTATTGGCAGTGTGCTCATAAGTGGACATATAATCAGGTCCTGATTGTTCTCTACCTCTTTAAAAAAAAAATAGGTATCCTTTCTTCAAGCAGTGTGCTTTTTGTGACTGGCTCACAAAATCAGTTCATGTCATCTTCATTTTTGCAATAAATACTCCCAAATTCTACAGCAAAAGAAGGTTGGAAAATGATAAACCTTCATGTGTTATTGTTTTTGAGAAAACACTTTACATCTTGATAATAATAGCATTTCACTTTGAAAGTAGATGAGGTTGCTTATGTGTAGGAATGTTTGACGGCAAAATAGAAATTTGACCGTGTTTGACGGCAAAATAGAAATATAGTACAGGTGTTACATACACAGAAGCCACCTGCCCAAACATATCTGGAAGTTCCAGTATAAAGGCCTAATGGGTGTAAACTAACATTCTTTATTTTATAAAACTAAAACCCTTTCTAAAATATTTTCTCCTGTCATCCAAATGAATACCCTATATTCTCCCAAACTGTGTGGTGGAAGTTGTAGTTCCACAGGCCTGGATTGTGCCATTTTGTAAAATGCTTATTGATGAATTAGGCTCCATAAGGCAAACAACCTTATGTTATTTCTTTATTTTAACCTATCTACCACTAGAGCTTTTGTAATCTTTTTGTCATTTTAAGCATTTAAAAAAAAGTTAAAATAGAGTTATAATGCTGATTATTAACATTGTAAGATTAGAGAATTATTATCAAGGTAATGAATACTGTAAACTTTTATTGTAATTGCACCGAGACATTTGTACACAGATGACACACTGTTTAATGGAAGATATGTTCAAGTTAAAAACATAAAAAACTTTATATAATAATAATAATAATAATAATAATAATAATAATAATAATAATAATAATAATAATAATAATAAATAATAATAATAATACTTTAAAAAGATAAAAACTAAAAAGAAAAAAACTAATTTACCGCTATTACCCCAAGAAACTCAATTTTCATGAATATTTTTCTTTTCCTGAATATTTTCTCTTGGTCTGGTTCACATGATTAGCTGACCCCAGTGTTAATACAGCTCAAAGAGTGCTGTCTGGTTCATCTCCTACATTTCACTTCATTCTAGGTAAACCCTGCTCCTTTTTCTTCTCCTCCTCCTCCTCTTCCGCCTTCCCATTAGATCTACCATTATTTTTTATACAAGTACAAATGAAACAGCAAATCACTGAACCAAGTTCATTGATGTGACAGTGGAACAGTAAATGGATGGCCCTGCTTTTGCTGTCGTTTTAACCAGAGGAAACTTGACAAACATTCTGCCACTTCTTTGCTAGCTCAAGGGACATGAGTAATGGGAAAGAAAAGGAGCAATCCACCGATCAGAAGCCATGGTGTATAAGAGATCAGGCTCTCTTCGTGGTCAAAGCAGAGACAAGGTTGAAATCAAGAAAGATATTTCTTAAGTTGGCTTCATGGTCTGTTAATTTCCTCATGAGAATAGAGCAGTTTAAGGTTGCAGTGTGGAAAAAAAAAACCTTTTGCTTCACTCATTTAGTTTCACTGTTGATCATGTTGCACTTAAGATCTATGGGTTTATCTTAGACAATCCTAATGAATTCTAAGAGCCATGTTATGAAGTCACATTGACCTCTCTTTTCTGAGCTGTGAGATGTTTTGAGGGCAGATCACTTATTCCAATGTTGCTTTCTCTGGAAATGAGTCCCAAGACTAAGAGCATTTGATTTTATCTACCAATAGCACAAGGGCAGGACAAGATGAAATGTCTATTATCTCACATTTTCAAGACAAGGCAGCAGCTCTTTCCCTTCCTTAAGGCTTGTGAAACTCCAATTTTCTTTGCCTTTTCCTCTAATCCTCCTTAGTTTTGGCATTGTTCTTAAACTGGCAGAAGGAAGGTAAACTTCACAAAACTTAAGGAAGACACAGCTTATTCAGAAAGATCAAGAAAACTCTGTAAATAAAAGGTTTCCATAGCAACCTATGATTAAAGAAATTCCTTCTCCAACACTACTTTTGGAAGTGTTGATTCTATCACCACCACCTCGGGGTACCACTGCAATTCATACTTATGTAATGTAAGTATTTGTTTGATTATCTCCCACATGTATTCAAGAACTCAAATGTTCATAGTTTCTGCTCCGTCATTTCTCACAGGGACTGTTGTGTAGGGTTTCCCTAGTCCTAACCCAGTTTCCCTTTAAAAAAAACTATACTATATGTTGTGACTCAGAGGATTGAGCCTGCTCTGTCAGAAGACATAGGCTCGGGTGATGAGGAAGACCTGGCATTAAGGTTTGAGCCTGCCTTGTTAAGTGACATAAATGGGAGTCAGGAGGAGGAGGAAGATAGGGCATTGGGGTTTGAACCTGCTTTGCTGGAAGTTTCGGAGTTCTCATCCTCTCCCGTACCTTCCTCATTAATTACACCTGTGTCAGCAGAGAATCAGGAGAACGTGCCAGAGACCTTAGATGAAGATCAAAGCGAAGAATCTTGGTTTGATGCAAGGAACAGACGTAAGCAGAAACGTCAAGCACAAACTGGAAGGAGACATCGAATCAGAGATTGATTAAGAGACTGACACGCCCCTTCAGGAAATATAAGGAGGCGTGTTAACTCTGGAGCCCTGTCCAGATCAACTTGTTAATTACCTCGCAGCGTGGAAGAAGTCTTCTGTTTGCCCTTTTGGCTCTGAATCATCTAGTGACTCGTTATAATGGTTCAAAGACAGTTTCTGGGAGAGCTGCCAACGACGATTACAGAGAGGAGTTAACTCTGTGGTGTCTGATATTCATTTGTTCGTGTTTGTTGCTGTGAGACATTTGGACTCTCACTTTGTGGCTACAGGTGAGACATAACAACTATATATTGGCATCCTTCAGTCTCAAGAGACTATGGTATTGTGCTCTGAAAAGAGGCCCTAAAACAGCATCTAGTGTGGCTAAAAAGGCCAATTTGAGAGTGGCAATCCTTTCCACACTGAGGACAGTTACAGCCAGTCTCCTGTCCAGTCCCCAGATTTTGCTGGTTCCAGGCTGCCTGCCTAACAAGTGTCTCTTTGAATTGAAGAAGGCCATGCTGCATCTTTAGTCTCCAAGCTGAATGATCAGAGGTC